TACCTTTTTACAAAGCTCAACTTTAAGCACAAGATTAGTAATAGAATAATATATAAAATTCATCTCAGATTCAAGTTCTGTACAAATCTGCTAAAATTTTAATTTATTCATTAACTACAACGAATATTGACAGACATTTTTGTGAACATTGGTAGAAAATAGAAAGTGAATTAAATCACGAAAACATGCGTTAAAATACGCTATTGTGTTGATTATCTATTTTTAATTTAATAAGAAGGCATTTGTTTATTAAACTAGCCATAAAAAAGTAAATAATAGCTGGACTGTGGCTTAACTAATTATGGGAGCCTAACTAGATAAACCGGAAACTGGCACAGAGATTTCTGAGTCAATCAAGGCTTTACTAGTGCAGCATGTAATGGATAAAGAAATTAATATATTTAGTTTCTTAATTTGGTATTTCTATTCTAATTTTGTTATTTTAATAATAATCCTGTTGTTAATTTCCTTTAGATAAAATATTAATGTCAACAAGTTGTTTCAAGCAGTTATTGAAATTCACAGTTAATATCCGATTGCAATAATTAATTAAAGAGAATGCAATGACCATAAAAAATTTCAAATTTATCATTTCAATCATTTTTTATAAACAGAATAGTGAATTTTTACCTCTCTGATCTGAAGTATTATAATTCATAAGTTGTGCCATTCATTTAATTTAATTCATTCTAGACAATCCTGACTGTTGTTTCCAGAAATTTTGTAGGAGGAAGTTGAAATAGTGAAGTGAGTTTCCAATCTGATCAACTTTAAAAACATTTCTAAGCGACTTTACTCTTACTATTTCAAGTTATTTACCTTCTAATATTCCCATGTTTTGACTTTAATGAAGTTTCTCCATCCACAATCCGTTGCAAGTTCTTTGTGACCTCAAAAATTCTCGTTATTCGGTTGAAAACTCAATCGATTTGATAAAAATCAGTTCAGTCAAAGTTTAAACTTTTGACGAAGGATATTAGGCTTTCTAACATAAATCATGCCATCGCAAACACCCCACCTTGAGCGAACTTAAATAATTAGTCAAAGTTTTCGATTTGCCTGTTCGTAAATTCAACGATTATATTATGTCTATTAATTCATCTCTGACTTAGATATGCAATAATTTTGACCCAACTTAAATCTAATTAGCATTCACTTAGTTGGTGTAGTCAACTTAGCACTTCAGCAAACAATTAACTATGAGGTAGCAACAGTTTATTCTATTCACCAAAATTGAGAAAAATTTATGCAAACGTTCCAAAATTAACGTAGATTTGGTGCTTTGATTACCCACTACTATGGGTTGATTTCTTTGTTTTAATTACGTACGTAGCATTTTATAAAGATGGTAGTACGATTAACACAGGTGCTTTAAATCCGCAAATATTTATTTATATCAATTGATAGGCGTTTGATAGTTATCATTAGCCCCTTTAGTTGACTTAGGGCTTCATAAAGGAGAGGAACATCAAAGTGGAAACAAGTCGGGAGGGGGGGGGCAGAAGAGTGTATCACAGATGTAAAAGAGACAGGTACAACGGTAGGAAAAAGATTTGGTTGGTACTGTGGAGGTAGTCGAATATGACATACAATGGGGTGATGGTAGTTTGAAGTCAGAAGTCAACTGCCGGTTAATGGACTTTATTACCGTATGAGTATACGTGCACCCAGGGTGCACCACGTGGAGGTAAGTCTATCGCCCACCCCAATCCGCAAATATATTTTTAAACATAGCATGTTGAATTTCTTCTGCCAAAGTGTTTGAATATATCAAAGATAGCTAACAAGAAATTGAAAGTAGTTAACTTTTAAATATGATTTGAAAATTTGCATAACATTTGATGATGCCTTTTGTACTATTGCTTCAAGGTAATTTCATTTTCCTCTTATTTTAATTAGGCCAACTAAGAAATAATTTAAAGCGATTTGGGAACCAAAGCTTAAACACAGCAAATTTCCACCTGCAATTTTTCAGTGAGTTCTAACACTTACTTCACGCTATCAGTGTTCGGAGATCTAAACGCCCTCCGGGCTGCCACAAATTTTCGTCCAAAGTAGCTGTCATGCTGCCAGGATCGATATGCACCTTCATTTTGATAACGATGATGGATGACTTGATAATTACATGGGGAATCGATAATCATATGAAAAGTACTGAAGTCACCACTTGTCTTTTGTTGGCTTCTTTATGAAGTAAAACCCATCTTCAATTTATTGTAAAGTGTGGGTGGCAATTACCATAATCGAACAATTAAACTTTTCAGGATTTTTAGGATTCGACTCCCCATTTCATCTTATTTTGTCGGTTATCAGCGCTTATAAAAAACGTTTTGATTGAGTTTAGAAAAGGTCCATCTATTAGCATATGATATAGAAAGTAGACGATTTTATGCAAAGTGTAAGTACTTAAATCGCAACTTTTCAAAAAAGTCCATTCACCAACGTAAATATGAGCATAGTCAAGAAATGAAAATACGAAGAAATTTTAATTACTCTTAGTTATTGAACGCTTTGCGAAACGCACATCTACATGTGCTTATTATCTGTTTGCCATTATCCTGATGGACAACTCAAAGATGGACGTAATACTTTGAGCTAATTAGTACGCTATAGGTACATTATTTGTTGTGACAATTGCGATTTCAGTTACACTATTTTACATAATAAAACAGAGTTTTGGAACTTTAATATTTAACATTTAAACTGAACTGAGAGCATCTGAAATTTATTCGTACCCAAGTCATAGGTAAACAAATATTATTTAAATAATTAGAGTGCAGTTTTGATGTATACATTAAGAAATAATATATGACCCGAGTAGCAGTGTAGAGGCAACTAATATTTATGTCAAATAAAAAAAGGCTTTTGAGTTATTTGTCATAGTGGGGACAACAGAGTGCGCGGGGTTTGGAACACTGTGATGTATAGGACTGAGAGCCATACCTTCTTGTTAAAACGGCATTATTTTTGTCTCCAAGTTTAGCGTCTACCTTATTACTTATCTAAATAACAGTGCCTTTAATCGAGTGATTGATCATGAGATCTCGATTTATTTAATTTGCCTTTCAAAAAGAGGAATTGTCTGATCCGATTAAGTCAAAAAATTTAATGGAGAGATTAACAAGTTCCTAATGCCAAAAGACGTTCAATACTCCTCCTCAATTACATAAATAAATATTTTGAAGTTCATGTTTGCTAAGATCTAAGTAATACCGTTTGCATTTTCTAACTATTAATAACAAGTTAAAGCTATTAAAAATGCTTTTTTACCAAGTATTATCAATAAAATTTGGCACCAACTTGTTGATCTATTTTATTTCGACAGTTTGGTTCTGAATGGCTTCTGATTAAACTAATAATAATTGAATTGCGATTGTTTGCACTGCTGCCCTGATCTAAGTTTGTGATTCCATGTTTATGCGCCTAAAAGAGTTTTAGTTGTTGATTTATTTGATCTGTGAAACGTTTCTCCGTTAGAATAAACCCGCCCGTAAGTTGGACATAGAGACCATGTTCTACCGTCTTGTATCAAGTGTCTAATTAAAAATTTAGGAAATTTTCATAGAAACTCTAAAACGTACAAGGATCTAAATTCCTTTAGTTGTATGAATTATACATTTCAGAATTAGATCTACAATCCCCTATTGCTCAAACAGTTAGTGTTTGAGATTTACTAGACCGCAGGCAGAATATGTATGCACTCGGACAGCAAAATCCCAATTATTAGCTTTAGGTAAGACAAGCCAATAATTTTGTATTCGTTTTTAATGACAATTTTACATCATTTCATTAAGAAGTTTAATATACTAAACGTATGCTTTTACTGGCAATAAATTTAAAATAGGTGTTGATCTTTAATTCACACCAACTTAAGTGAAGGCGTAGCGGATTGCTTGGCTTATCTTAAGTAATCTCCTAGGCAAAATATATTCTAATATGGATAGGCTCCCGACTCAATGGTAAAGAAGAATCAGGCACATGGAAAGTAGAGTTTTTATTGAATTTCATAATCACAGCAAACGTGATCAGTAATTGAATACATTTAGTGTGACTTGAATGAACCTTAACAGCTGACTATCTGAGAAGTTCTCTGCACTGTGGGACACGTCATCGCATGCGTGTACACATAGGCTTGAGGTGCGGCCGTACAACTTCGCGTACTGATTGAGGACAAGAGCACGCAGCCAATAGCAGCTCAATGACCCTCATTTGTTTTATCAAATCCGCCATGTTGTATGACTGGTTTCCTTCCTGTAAACACTTTATCCGTGATATACGTATTGAATAAACGTGCTCCGTGCTACATGTCTGTTTCCTTTATAGCTGGGCTATAGCTTAGCTGGTTCTGGGAGTCTAGCTAGATGTTGGAGAATTTGCCATAGAGATTTCTGAGTCAGTCAGGCTTTACTAAGGTAGCAATCCGCTACAGCACACACGGCTGCACAGCCCAGAATGTTCAGATGCAGAATTTAATCGTGTTAGGATTGCGTACTCCATAAATATAGCCTAGATTGTATTAAAATTTCTTGCATAAAAGAAAAAGAGTAGAAACAGGAGTAAACTAATAAATTCACTGCATCTAAATTAGTCATTTAAATCAATTATACTTTGATTGAAATGAAATTGTAAGCTACTTGAAGAACTTAGTATTTTTCTTAAAAAAGTATAGATAGTGTGATTTACGGCTCATCTCTTCGGATTTTTAAAATGAGTTTAAATAATTGTTAAAATTAAAGTTGAAAAAAATTCTAGATTAAAAATTTACGCTTTGCTGGGCGCTCAGTATTCAATCTTCGTTTCCTTTTATAGTCAGCAATATGAGAAATAATAAAAGTTTCCATCTTCGTCAACTTGAATTTGTGAAATTCATGGCGTTACAATTACATCAGTCGAAACTAATTTGCTACTTCTTTTGCTCGGAACTACTGACCAATTCAAGCTTATGATCCTCTTTCACCGGAAGTAGTTAAAACAAATTTTCAGTAGAAAATCGCTTAACTATGGCGAGTCGAATTACTTCGAACATGACACTCCCCATACGGCGACTCGTTCGAGCCCATGGAAACTCCACATTTAAACGAGCTGCTTTTATTTTCTGCGCAACACTTTTTACCTGTGCTCTATTCACCGGAATTATCATCCTTTACCTCGTGGTTCTCCCCTACCTTCATGAGCATGGCTTCGAGGAAAGTTTGTGTGTAGTCGCTGAAATTGAACCTGAAAGACCTATCATCAAATGTGAAAACCGCTGTTCAAGAGAAAGATCTCGGTTTCCCTGTCTGCGAGTGAGAGTTATGTTCCAGAGGGGTAATGCGAATTATTCGGCTACACTATTCGATACTATCGAAACGCATGAGCATTATCGCCGTTATAGGGCGAGTTTGAAGTTATAGATATTTTACCGCTTCTTTTATTTCCTTTTTATTTTCCATCGTCAATTTGTTTTCCCTTCAGACAATTATTGATTGCATTCATTACAAATGTGCATCATGTTTACCTGAATGATGCTTAAATAATATAATCTCTAATTCCGTTTATTGATGATCTACAGTTTGAGCAGATTCTAATATTTAAAAGACCAATTTTATTAATTGTGGCAAAATTTTATTTATTGTTTTTTTACTGATGCGCAGTAGGGTATTATGTTTCCAAGCAATTTATACACCAATGGACATATTTTAATTAGTAAGAAACCGAAGAAAGTGAAAATGGTGTTTCATAAAGCAAATAATTCCGAAGACCATTAAGGAGACATTTCTTGGGTTATGGAACGATATTACGGTGCCTCTCCGATGAAATACCCGATTTCTGACATCGTCTTCTCTGACCAGACATAAACAGCATTGGTTGATTGATTCAGTGACCCTTAAAATAACTAATTTTTACTACTAATAACAACGTAAATCGAATGGAGTTTATCGTAATGGCGCATCATAATCGATTCAATATATCAAGTCAGTTTATCCTGTATTCTTTGTATTCAAATATACAATTTAAATAATCTCAATAATTGTTGTCTAAGGTTCGGTCTAATTCAATTTGAATCATGCGAAACAAAGTCAAGCCAACCTTTCTATTTTTTCCAGGTATATATGAGAGTAGCTACATTGTTTATAGAAACTAGACAGGCCATTCGCACTGCAGGCTAAAATAGCTAGGTGTGCTTAGAATCGCAGCGTGATTGCGTCTATAAAAGATTCCGATAAGCCTCCATTGATCATCGGAGATTGCTTTAAATCAACTCCGTTATCAGCTAGAATTGAGTGCAGAAAACATAGCTGGATTGTAAACATTAACAGGACTGTTCAAGACTGCTAGATTGAATTTCTTTCAACGCATTCATAATTTTGGATCACGTTTGCTCATTATTCAGACTGCAAGAAGACAGTTGATTTTTAACGCCCTAATCGGTTTTCCTTCTACGAACGACTTTCCCTTTTCGAGTAATTTGACCGATTTCTTCAATGATTTCATCATTTTTAAATTTTTACCATCGTTATTCATGAGAGATTCTCAAGACTGATTCCGAAGCGCAACAAGAGAAGTCAATTTGGATGACACCCTTATAAACGCTAACAACATTATCCTCATTCCTATGCAATGGGGACCGATTAGGTAGGTTGCTTCCAAAGAGGGTGAGCATCTGAAAAAATCAATCTACCGCCAACGTTAGCTGCTCTAATTATGTATACTTTTGTCAAAGCTGACTGTCTTTGTTTGATAAAGTTAAGAGATTCATTTATCTTTCTATGCTTGCTTAATTAACAGTCCGCTATTAAAATCATAAATATCTAATGATCACTTAATTGCCCCCAATTAAAGTTTTATTTTCTCCTATCCTACAGCATCTTTGTCTCCTCTTTATTTTGCCAAAAAGTAATAGGCACGCTGTTATATAGGTGCGTTCAATAGCACTTGGGGTTGTGATATCACGTACTTAAGCTCCTCTCTCCCCCCCCCCCCCTCACCCATAGCAAATGATAGTAACCTCGGAAAATGTCATGCCAAGCTGCAACGATAAAGATTTCATTTTTTGAATACAATGAAAATTCTCACAGACCCCTTAACCTTAAAGCTTGTTTCGGGTCAACAGATTTCATGGAGAATTAAAAGTTGAGCCCATACAAGCTTGTGGCTTAGGCAAGGAAAAAACATTTGATTTGACTGGATTGTCGTTGCTAAGTTAGCAATTGATGTCAATTTCCGTTTCTTATATCGCGACTTCCAATGTAATGAAATTTGAGTCAAAAACGGAAAAGTGCAATGATGCCAACTGTATACGATTTTTTTTATGAAATGCAATCCCCTTTCACTTTCGAGAAGATTATCTTTGCTCGTGTGCTATGATCATTAAGGATTTCCACCGTTTTATTTTTCGATTGCCCAAAGTTTTATAAAAGGCATGTGTGGCTGAATCCTCACTTCTCGAACTGCTTTAATTAATGGGGCCACAAGATTCAGGACGAACACTTTTAAAGCACCTTTGAGTGGGCAGGGGCTGTTTTTCGGTCTAGTAAGAAAGGACGTAATTATCCTCGTTTCATCACCTATTCCCTCTGCTCCTTCAGAAAACTAATTCTACTTTGCCTAAGCTATTCATTCGGCTGTATGTCTAAATTATCGTAATTTTTCCCCATTGATAAATGTTCATATATATAAAGGTATTAGTGCTTATGGATAACCATGTTACCTTATAGCATGTTATTTGTCATTGGCTCATTCCTTTAGCATTTGCTACAGTTTATATATACTGATAGACTTTCTAGGATATGTCTAAAAAGTATTCACATTTAAGAACCCAATCATGACATCGCTGAGTTAAGACTACGTACCGGACACGATTGCCTGGCAAAGCACCTTTACAGATGGGGAGTATACATTCAGCCCACATGCCCCCTATGTAACCTACAGGAGGAAATGGAGAAGACCCACCTGATTCGGTGTCCAGCCCTAAAAACAACGGTAGAAACCCAGAGATATTGGGAAGCAAGAAGACAGCTAATGAACTGCTATTAATTAACTGTTATATATGTCCCCCCCCCCACCCATGGGGAAAGCTGTAGTCAAAGTTTAAGGCCTAATGATAAATATCATAATGCCTGCCATTTGAAATAATAAACATTTGAAAATAACAAATGTCTTAATATTTTTCAGTGCGTGACACATTTCTGTCAAAGATATTATGAAGAAAACGAATTCGCCGTTCAGGTCTTCCGTTGGCGGCTGCTAAAACAACCCAGTTTCCGCTGTTTTGTTTCCTCTGAATTACATGGACATGAAGCCCTCATGCATAAATTTCATCGGGCTTCTACTGTGACTTATGGAATTGTATTACCTGTTTTCGTATGCCTTGTCGCCCTGATGGCTTTACTACTCCTCTGGTACTTCTATGGATGTAGCTTCTGGCATTTGCAAGATGAGCAAAGCTCCTTTGGTTGTATGGTTGCTCGGCCTATTGCAGTAGTAGAGTGAAATCTGATTTACCAACGCCCCCCACCCGCTCCCAGATTACAACTCATTCCACAATTTTCTACTCTAATGATATCATATCGATTATTTAATCCAACTATACAAGTTCTCTTAATAAATATATGGTTAACTACAATTTACCCAAAAGTTTCACTCTAAATTTATTTTGTGCAGAGTTCTATATTAACTTAATCTGAATAAGATACGGCAGGAGACATTTATTGCAGAGTTATTTCCCAGTATATTTGAGTTAATGGTAAAGTTGCTTTTTGCAAATAATAACAAGTAAAGTAACATTTAATTATAAACCCGATGATGAAGAAACAGTAAACGCAACCTACCCCACTTCTATTTGCTTATCATTCCTGACGCAGAGTTGAGCAATATTCAGTAACCTGAATGATTAAATTATTTGAAAATATTGATGAGTTGACATTTATAGTAAGCTTAAGAAGCAAAAACCTGGCGTTTTGTCTCAAGATGAAGAGGTTGTCGTACGATCCTCTTTACAGAATGACATATGCTAAGGGCGAAAAAGTAGTAAGTCCGAGGGCATTTGAATGTCTACACATGTATACGTGTGAGCAAGACATCTCAACATAATATTTGTGTAAGTGAGTTTGGAAAAGGGCAGATTTCTGTGTATAACCTGAAAATTTCTCTGTAAATTGATGTGCTAAAATACGCACCTGTCTCCGTCCAATTTATAGGTTAATGTGCACATGGTTTTTCCTCTCTGCATAAATAACGGTTGTGTTTTTATCCAATTATGTGACAGGCCAGCCGTTTGTGCAAATGCTCAAACTCATAGTTAAGCTCTCAGATTATTTTATATATAAATAATAACACTACTTATTCATTGTTCACTACTTAAAAGCCTGTCATTTTGTTCATAGATTAATAAATTTAATATAATTGAAATATGTAAAAAAGATTCAGAGAATTTAAAATAACATGGGAATAAATCTAAAAATGTATTTAATAGTTTAGGTTATTAGGTAGGAAATAATTTTGTTTCTTTGTTAATAACGAGCAAAAAATTCGCCAGACCGCGCAAGCTATAGTTTCGCAAAGTTCACGCTAAGATGTTGATGCGTTATTATGAAGAAGATGGCAAAAGAGTGTATACCTTAAAGGTTCGTAAGTAAAATTTTAGCTTTATATGTTCAAATACATTTTCGCTGTCTTGTTTTACTTTTGATTCGTCGTGACTGGTCTTTTTTATGTAGTATGGATGTTCTTTTTCCTTTTAGCTTATCCATAATGGTATTCCGACTCAGTCAGCACATCCAGCCAGATTCTCTCCAGATGACAAATTTAGCAAATATCGGCTTCAAACAAAGCTTCGTTTTGATCTTCTGAAACTGGACGAGAAAACGATGTAAATTTTGTATTTAATAAATTGTATTTTATGTAACTCGTTTCTGGCAGTGTGCCATTTTAATTATATTAAATATTTTATGAGTATGAGTAGTGGTATGTTCAGTTTATTTCGCCAGACGCGAAAATTAACTTATATCTACATTAATTTGTGCATGTAGCTCTTTTATATACGACATGCAATTTATCGCTTCACTCCCTGAGGCTTGCACTCGGATTTGATGTTTCCTATCTGAACAGTAGTAATTGTTCTTATAGTTCAACTTATTATGTGAGTGGATCCAGATTAATGTTCTTTATTTGATTCAGCATTGAATAATATTCATTCAGAGAAATGCTGTTGCTTTCTGAAGAAGGTATAGTAAAAGATATTTTCTTTCTTAACTTATTTATTGCATTAATAATCAATTTATTACGAAACAAATCGAGTTAATTAAATACCAGCCCCCTGTATCCAAACCATGTTACGACTTGGGGCTGATCATGAATGGGCATTTCCAGAAGTTGGAGGGGGTATGTAAAATATATCAGATAATAACGATAATACTTTAATAATAAAAATGGCAAATATACACGTATAGACAATTTCTACGGGGAAGTTGGAGCGTTGCTAGGGGCATCGAAAAGAACAGAAATAGTTTCGTTTTCCTCAAGTTGGCATAAAAAGTCACTAGAATCCGGAGGTGGGTTGAGAGGAAACAAGGGGTTTGGAAAAGGTGAATCGTCTAAAATAATAACCATAAAGACGAGTAGTGAGCAATTTAAAACGATAGAAAGTTTTGAGTGAAATAAACAGTTACCTTGATGGCCTTGTCTCCTGGAATCGAAAATAGTCTGGCCTGACGGCAATATTCTTGTTTTATTTTGGACATCATCAGGATTAATAAGGAGTGCTTCAATGGGAGTAGACGGACTCTTGAGGTGAATTTGGAATTCTGGAGCTGTTTTGTATGAGCGTTTCATAGAGAATAAGGAGTGAGTTGATTGGTCCATTCCGCTCTCTGGAACGGGAGCATCCAGTTGGGTACCTTCAGGTGCACGGATAACAAGCAACTCTCGATCGTGGAATACGCTCAAAAGGTCTTGACAAGTGATATAACTGTATTGCTCACTGTTGATGTCCTCTTGAACATTGCGAATGGACTGGAGAACCTTAGCTCTATGTTCATCCACTTTCTTCTCAAGATTTTCCAAATACTCCACTTCAGCTTGCAATTCGTCCAACCTGGCCTGAATATCAGGCCCATTTGTAGCTGCGCTCCCGCCCCTAAGCGAGAACAATATTTTGCAGTCATTTGTTAATTTGATAAAAATTGAATGAATAGGCAACATACTTCCACTGAATACTGTTCTTAGTGCGTTTTTCGATAAGACCAATGCCCTCTAGCACATTTGTGATATCGTATATGCGACGTTTTTGTCGAACAGCAAGAAAATCGGCAGCCAATTTCAAGTCCAAAATCCCATCTGGTGCTTCCTTAAGAAGTTGGACAAACTTTTCAGTAAGAAGACCAAGACTTTTTTCGTGACGATTTAAATCACGATATGGTTGGGATTCTAACTGAAAGTCACTAAAAATTAGGCCTTGATTGGGATACATAGCCGAGAATTCGTTTTAGGAGCTTCAATACTACTGGCACGAACGAAACTTCTGCGAATTCACTATTAATTAAAACAAACATTACTGACATCTTTTAAAATGCCTGCAATAGCAATATTTAAGCATTATTTATAATGTCTATATTTTAAAATTTATTTTTTTGACCAAAACGTATAAAATACTAAAATTTAAGTTAATTATTAGAAAATATATTTGAATAATATGAAGAAGGGGTTATCGTTATATTTAAGTTAATTTATTTATGCTTTGAATTCGGTTCAGTTAATCTCTTTAAGTTTGTCATTGGTCTCTATTTATTTTGTACTATATTCCTGTTAGTATTTTACACCGTATCATAGTTCGTGTAATTCCTTGTCATGTATCCAAACACCCGTAACTAAATGAATCTGCATAGTCTTAGTTGCTCTTCACATTCTACATACTTAATTTCAAAATATCGGAATTGAGAGAACTAAAAAATCGTACAGTTAGCTAAGTTATGATTCTTCTATGCTTGGCTTATATGCCTATAAGAAGAGCTAATATAAACAGCTAATCGCACATAAGAGTGAAAAATTCTTATTTGCATTTCTACGGATAACATACAGCTTTCGAAGAATGCATGTAACGGTCATCCATAGCATCAATTCAACTCTATTTTGGTCAATGCCTTTGACTCAAAAATATATCTATCTTTTGCTTTGCTGATAAACTTCCTCTTAAATTCTTACCTTACTTCACATTCTCTCTTTGTTTTTTTGAGTTACCTGATCATATCTTACAATTGGTGTTCCATCCTTACAACTAAAGGAGATTTTTTAGTTAAATTAAACTAACTATCTCCGCGCTTTCTCGACGATTTACTATTTTAAGAATATTCTTCTGACATATAACCCTGATACTCTTAAAAGCCTTCCAAATGAAAAAAATACTCCAAAAGAATAATGCATGCGGATTGAACAAATCTATCTATTTTCATCACGTTATATCAACCATCAAACAGCACCTTTAGTGTAACATAACAGTAATTCAAAGTTTTACACAGCATGTCAGTGAAAATGCTTTCCACCATAACCTTTGATTCTTCAAATTTAATCGTAAGAGCTTTTACTTCTGCCGACAAATTGCTAAACATTCAAGGCAGTTGCGAGAAATCCACTGATGGTTGTGAAAATTGCAATTTTTAGCTCCGTAGAAATGTCATAGAATTAACCCGCCTTAGGATGGTACAGTCAAATAATCAATGGGAGTGGGGGGGGGTTCTGAACTCATAAACGGATTTTGACAGAATGTCCGCATATAGCAAACTTCAATCTTTTCACTTAAAGCCATAATCCCTCCTTTAACTAAATGATCTGCCTGACTGGCAGAAAATTTTCTTTAGATGGAAGCACATCAAAGTAGTTAATATGATATTTGAATATTTTTCAAAATGAGAATTAGTTACAGTATTCACAAACACCAAAGGTGATAATCTAGGCCAAGGCTTTGGAATTTTCAGTTGGCATCAACCACCCTTCCAGAGGCGTAAGATTCGGCATTCGAGCATTAGTCATCTCTAACACAGACATGTACTGATTTGAAGCTCGTTCCACGCCAACCTGTAGCTACAAAACCAAAAATAGAATATTTAATTCGTAAAATGGATAAGTATCAAGGGCGGAACATACCTGTTTGCCGGACTCGAGCTGATTTTTGACATCGGGAAGAAGGTTCATACCGTTATTTGAAGCAATGTGACGAACACGAGAGGCAAGAGTAGCGATATCTGATTGATAATGGCATTCGAGACAGGCTAACTCCCAAAGACTACTAGCAAGAGCAGCCGAACCATCACTCGCCAGATCTTCAGGATGATAGACGTAAGGATCACCACCTGGACCGCATTCTGCCATTGTAGGTGCCTTGCAGGACAAAAAACAACTTTATTAACCCTGAAATACTGAAGAGTAATTAAATTGATAATCAACTCACATTTTCGTCCTGACTACCACTTCGATCAATGAGAACACGACAAGGAAGATGGCGAATCAGAACATTGCCACCAACTGTGATCAGAGCTGGCATAATTGACAATGGAGCTGTTCCAAACAGGCTTAGCTGGAAAAGACGTTTTGAGAAAGCTGACAACCATCCTGCGGGTACATGTCTAGAAAAAACCAGGAAGATCATTGTTACTCATAGTCATGTAAGTAAGCCTAGTTAGAATTTCCATACAACTTACATTGAGGTAAGATATATATCTAGATCAAGTAGAAAGCGGTCTGCATATGGACAGACCAAAAGATCTTGGCCCAAGAGTGCATAGAGGCGGGGATAAAGGCGATCATAATTGAGACCACCTGTGTGAATGACCTTGAGAAGAGCACGGGTCACGGCACGAGACCAAGAGGGAAGCGAAGCGGCACTCGAACTGGCTGGTGGATCGAAAATGACTGTAATGTAGGGACCGAGCAATTGTGCTGTGTCCGTCATCTTTTCCATTTGATCGTCACCAAGAGTAATTAGAGCCTCAAGCATAAGGTCGTCTGGAAGCTGAAAAATAAATAGGAGGTTAAATTTCGCTTTGAATCTATCATGCACAAGTTACTTCCCTCGCTATTTGAGTTTATGTGCAAAAAAGCGTGTGCGCTGCAATTGTCAAGTCTACTGGGCCACAGTCAGAAAAAAATTACTGTAAGCTAAGAAGAAAATGCATTGAACAGAATTGCCCCCGGGGATTGATTGGCTAGCCTAAGATAATATTCTCGAAAAATGCAACAGACCAATCCAATCACTGATAAAAAGACAATTTGCTCAGAGCATAAAAGATAATTATTTCGGCCAAATAACAAATCGTTTCTAGATGAGTTCCAAAAAAGTCACAGCGTTTGTAATGTAATAAAAAAAATCTTACTCCCTTCTCCAGTAGCTTCCCCCAAGTTCGTGTAAGTGCATGACGCAGAGCCGATATTTTTACTCGTTTTGCCTGCTCCGATTTGACTGGAAAAAAAGATAACACAAAACAAGAATTTTAAAAGTTATTAAGGATAAATGGTAACGAAATAGAGAACTAAACAAACCGGGTGGTTTATCGCCAAGGAATTCAGATTTCATTTTTAGCGGCATAAGACACTTGAGAAGTCGAATCACTCGGCTAAAGAAAGTGGCAACCTAAATCAGATGGCGTTAAATTAATAGAGATATTCCTTAAATACAAAGTTAAGCAAGATAAAGAACATATTTACGTCAATTTTATCAAAATTGGCATCGTTAATCATTGATTGAAGACAACGAATTAGATGCGCACAGTAGTCCACATATTTAATACGATTGGAAAGAGGAACAAAGGCGTTTTCTGCAGTCAGTGGACTTTTAGCTTTCAAGAAAGCACCCAGTTCTGCCTACAGGAAAATAGAAATTGAACAATCGATAATACTAGAATCGAGAAATAAGTAGTGGGAAATAAAAAAAACTCACAAAAGCGGAATCGTACGTAGGCTGAATAGGCATCTAAAGTAGGATAAACACTCATAAATGAGCAGCAAAAATGCGGGTGAGATGTATAAATCAGAACGAAATGAGTCGGAATAAAATTATTAATACACATTTGAAAAGAGCTAAGTACAATAAGGAAAGCACAAAAGGAAGTTAAAATAGACGACACTGAGTAGTGTTGGAAAAGCCAAAAAGTGTGGTAGCGGGACCAATTGAGAGTAGCCAGCCAATAAAACCAGAGAAGAGAAGGCTTAGGTAGATCCGTTTGCCCCACCGGGGGTGCCTCAAAGACAAATATTTGAGGTCACCTGGGATGTCCGGTGCTCCCATTGCGTTGCAAAAGGAGTGGACTATGCATGCGGCAATCAAATGACCACTTCGGAGAACAATCAGAGTCGAATACACACCGAATATTGCAGTCATCAATACTTGTGGCACTGGAGAGAAATAAACGTGCTACTCATTTAAATTTCGGTAGATAATTTAAAAGATGTTGAGAAAATACGTACAGACTTCGGAGAGAGCCATATTGAGGGGATAGCCTAAGTAAAGCATCTCAACAACATGATGTAAATGTGCTGAAAAAGAAAAAAGGCAATTAGCTTAGCAAAAGATTATAAATGATAGTAAATAGGCGAAAACGAAATGAAATGTAACAAAAAATAAAAATGGTACATTTTTATATGATTAATTAACTTAAACTTAATTAGAAAGCAGGAACAAAGTTGTCCTCTTGATAAATGGGAATTATTGCACCAATTAAAATCCCTTACCCACTATTAACTGGAGAGCTTGGGGCATTAAAAAGCCAAAATATGACCAGAACCGCTCAATGTAGCAACCGTTAGAGGTTCATTCAAGAAAGCGAATATCTTTGGGTCTATTTCGCAGAAGAAAGTAGAGGAAATACGATGAGTGGCACTTCTCAATCAATATCCTACTGATGGGCATATGAAGGATTGTATAAACTACCATTAGCAAACAAAGAGATACTTTGCCATTGACAAAGAACTAGTAATCAATGAACTAATATGGTTTGGAGTGCAGTTTCAACTCAGAAGGATTTAAACAAAGCTTCAACTCGTTCTAATATTGTAAGATAGAATTATCTGAATGAAGTGAAACATCGAGAATAAATACAGCGTAAGGAACTCGGAGACTAAAGCAAAATCATTTACTTACGAGTTATATATAACTGTGCACTTCAACTCGTTGATACGAGGCTTAAGTTATGAAATGGATCAAACATAGGGAGTAAACCCCGATGGTGAACACTGAAATACCAGTTAGCTTGAGTACAATTACAGCTCAAAAGAAAGCGCTATCTTCGCCAAACAATCGTGCGAACACTTTTTTATATCATTAAAAACGTTTAAATGTGTTGAGAAATCTATGTCTTTGAAAATACTCAAGAATAAAAACCACTGACTTGGAAAATCTGCAACGAGTGCAGCTTCCAAAAATCCTCGAAACCAAAGCTTGCAACTGGACAACTATTGAACCTCATTAAAAATTTTGAAAAATTAAGTCAACGAATGACCCAATTTCACATAAAAATTGAATTTACTCGAAGAAGTCATTTAGGCTATGCTCACCAATTGCAAAAATAAGACCAGAGCAGAGACAGAGAGCTCCACAAGTTTGGAATTGACGTTGAAGTTGGAAGAGAATGCAGCCTCGGAAGATTATTTCCTCAACAATCGGAGCAAGTACCACAGCTCGAAACCGGATAATATCACAGCAATATCGTAATTCATTTAGAATTCCTGAAGGTGAACAAGAGGAACATCGAATAATTAGCAAAAGAGACCATTACAATTTCACAATCTATCGTTCTACCATTAAGCAAACTGACCACCATAAGAGAATTGGAATAAATGTAAGCAAAAACTAGTTCAGCATCACTTTGATTAGCCATATGTATTGCAAATAAAGAAGACTAGTTACAATAAGTCTAAAATGTATCTTTTATCTCATTTTTATGAAACGCGAGCACAAGCAAAAAGAACAACCAAATGTATAAGTAAATCTACTCAAAATAAGAAAATCTTACGGCAATAATTATAAATCGGGCTAACTAGGTGTTAAGGGAGGCAAAAACTAAATTCAGAAGAAAAAAATAAAAGCGCAAACAAACTTTAATTTTGACAGTTAATCTGAAGAGTGACATTCTATAATTTGTAATAAAGTATAATAAGGAATGATATAGGAACATTTTTTGTGCGCAATATATCATTTGAACCAAATAAATATAAAGACGAATAGGAGAAATTTGTTACCATTTGTAGTGAGCAAACGTCGAGATCGCCAATCGCACCAAATTGGAGCTAGAAAAAGAAGCTGAAGAAAAAAAAAACAAAATGATATTTATCACAAAAGTTATAGACAAATTGGGAAGATTTTGAGACCCAAAATTTTAATAAAATGAATGGGAATTCCAAAGTATGAAATGACTATAAACTTCCCAACATAGTACATTTGCTAGGGTAAGTAGAAAATACCCCAAAAGGAAACTCAGATGCACCCTCCTAATCCATTAACAAGAAATACTTCTGTTACGCAGGTATATTTACTATCCGAATATAATAGTAATCAGTCAAATTGGTAATATTCAGTGAGCACTGTGGTAACACAAAGGTTAAAGTTGCACCGAGACAGCACAAATTGGGAACGGAAAGATCGATCAGAAAACAGATCCAGTTTTATTTAATTATTTATACGAATGGATTAGCTGCCGGTTTAGATAGTATTTTCAATAGTAGTAAAGACAAAGTCCACTAAAGTTTCAGTTTGACTTCATAACGCCCGGAAAGCAAAACAAAAACAGAATTGCAGAGAATAGTCCACAACATTTCTGTTAGATTTTAACATATTAGTAAAGTAGAAAGTAGAAGGAGACCAATGATAACACTTGAAAATATATAGAATGTTAGGAACAAGGAAAGAACTTACTGAAGTGGAAAGAAATGGCAGAAAAACTGCTAAAAGCACATTCTCACGGCGAATGAAAAGGCGAGAAAGATCATATGAATCGAAACTCCACTAGAATTGTAATTAAACGAAATGGCGTAAATAATTACAAGAATAAAATTAACAAATACGTAAAGACAAAAAATGAAAAAAAGAGTGAATGAGTATGATAGAGGATGCTTTGCTTTAAGACAATTTGCGGTTAAAGCGAAATGTTCGCAAGAATGCATAAAGATACGGATATAAAAGTTAAATAGAAATCATTAAAACTTACGGGATTAGAACCTGGAAACTGAGTAGAAGTTACTGAGTCAGCAAATATGAGTCCACAGGAGATCGTTGAGGATATGAATCTTTGTATTATACTCTTTTGGTTATTTCTAGAAAAAAATAGTATAATCAATAAAAGTCAAGAAATCAAAAAGATGGATCTATCAAATATTGCACCTATCGAATCCACCATATATATACAGGGAAGAAATAAAAACAATGCAGTAAGCTATAGAGCGGATAATTGGTTGAGCCAGATATTCTGCAAAAACCATGTCATTAAATAGCTTTAATTAGCATATAAATGCGGCACGGTATATCTGAGCGTGCAAACGAAGGTTAGAATGCACCGGCGCAAAGCAGGCTATTGTTAAATATAGGCGCGATTAAAGATAATGAATTGAAACGAGCAATTTGAAAAGTTTATTTATTTAAACAAATAGCCGTCAGTGGTAAATATTCAAGGGATTTAAAACGAAACTGAGAGAGTTTGCATATAATTTATTAGATATGAAACTGAAACAACTGGCATTAACGATACTTTTTTTCAAAATTCTGTTGAAAAAAATCTTAAACGGCAATTATTTATTGCTGCCTTTTATTCAACGAAAAGAAGCTTAACATCGGAAATTTTACATAATTACACATTGTAATTTTGAAGTTGATTGTGCATTAAGACACAGGAAGTTTATTAATTTATACTTTGGAATAAAACTGATGATAAAACCCTAAGCACGAATGTATTTTAAACAATGCAACAACCAACTGGAGTTTACTAATTTTTGATGACTAAATATGCAAAGCAATTTTATAAAAAATGAAATAAATAGTAAAGTTAATTTTGAAAACAAATTTAAAATTTATAAATCGATCTACCGCTACAGTAATCAATCACAATTGTTCACATCAACGATTAGACGCTTTTGGCATTTTCATAGGTAATGTTTACATAGAACTCTAATGCGTTAACCAAAAAATGGTTGTGAGCTTTCAGTAGAGCTAACATATCGATATGACTGATACATCATTATGTGAAGCAATATCATGAGTAAATTTAGTCAAAAATTGTTGATGATAAGATAGATGGATAAATAAATCAATTCGGTAGTTATACTGCTCTGTCTTTGGCAAAGGTTAATAATACATGCTAGCATTTCTTCAAAGCGGCGTCCTTAAATTGGGCAAGTAATACATTTGGTTTGGGGGAGTTAACATTTCATTTGAAAGTGATATTTATAGTAAGCAAGACGTAAAAAGTAATATTTCAATTTTACGATTGATGTAAAGTATATAATAAATGCAAGTCTCAAAACCTAAGGCATTAATATGGATTGATATACAAAATATTTAGGTCTTAGTTTTTTATATACAAAGTAGAGAGACTTCATTTGAAATTAATAATATGCAATTATAACACAAAAGTACCTAGCATCTTATTTCATAAGTTGAATTTATTAAGCAATATGTCTATGAATAATTCCACTATATGTCAAGGTTATAAATCTAAGGTGGTTTTGGTGGGCTGTATGAAAATTCTTCCTGACTAGCCTAAAATGACTCTTTCTGAATTGGAAGGAAAGTTAGAAAATGATTTTGAGTTCAATAATTGTGTTAAAGATGCGGATATATACATACGAATGGGTAGCTGTCCAATTCGTTTGATTATTATTAGGCTTTATTCGTAAAATTTATTCGATTCTCTCAATTCAATTACTTCTTACATGCTTTACTGGAGCCGTAATGTGCACATTTAAGGAGACCATATCGCCTTTCTTATCTGACAGGTTTTATTTGATTTATCTACTGTTTTGTTTAACTGTTAATTTAGGCCATCAATCTTATTCGGCCTATTTATTGTTTCACTTGTCCTAATGATTGCCATGTTCATCAAAAGATATGATAATCCAATCAATTTCATCTTAATGTTCGCCTTTGTAAGTGTTTTTGATTTCTTATAGTATCATTTATTTTAGACATTTGCTGAATCATTTTTAGTGGGTCTTGCCGGTATGAGTTCTATGTGCTTATTACTCTCTCCCTAGTTGTTTATTACGATGTTAACACGGTCCTGCAGGCCCTCTTTATTACAATGGCGGTTACAATTGGTTTGACAGTGTATGCTATGCAGACCAAACGCGACTTTTCTCCTTGGGCTTCATGTCTAGGTTGTTGCCTAATGGCCCTTCTTGTTGGAGGCATTTCTAATGTGAGATACCCCTCTTATATTTGTTTTCCGTATAAAATGATGTGTCGTAATGAGTTGCATGTTTATTAGGTCTTTTTTGGATCGCCAACAATCCACTTGGCAATCTCTATTTTTGGATCAATTCTATTTTCTTTCTTTCTGATCTATGATACTCAAATAATAATGCAACATTATTCCCCAGAGGAATATATTGTTGCTGCAATTACTTTGTATCTGGATATCCTCAATCTCTTTCTCTATATTTTGCGTATTCTTCAGTCAACTGCTAGTGAATAGAAGTTGCCTATCAAATGTGATCCATAGATTTCCTTTTCTTCTAAATTAATAAATACTCTAATATATGCTCTTTTTTGGTGATCCATGGAATAGAATTACACGAGTTGTAAACTGTAGAGATTTTACAAATCATGTGTGTAATTCTTGTGGCACCTGTTGTAGGGATAATCTAATTTAGTAATATTAATTAGCACCCAATAAGGAGAAACAAGTATCCCCAAACTCGTTATGGAAATAGGTAATATCGTTTGGCTTGGATAAGAGGGGTGGGGTATTCTGAAGATGCTCTTATCCTACCGTCCATTGACCGGATTTATTCAGTGAGCCTGGCTTTTCACTTCACTGTTCTTCAGTGGCTGCTGATTTGGTAAAATTCGATTTGTCAAAAGTATACCTGTAACGCTTCGCTTTTGATGCACCACAGTAGGATCTTTTATCTGTTTTGGGACGGGAGGTGGCACCTGATTGGCTAAAATCTTACTAATGCACAGTCATTTAGCTCTAATTGATCTATGAAACGATACAGTGGAATGAGGTGGTTCAGTGTTTCCTGTTTTGTTATATGGTGCTAGGAGAATATGCACATGTTCATGGCACCTCCAGACGTTGGAGCAGTTGACAGCTTGTTACCAGGACCTAATTGCTTGTTTCTTCAAGAAAATAATAATGAAGAACGCGCTTTCGCGATGACTTTAGGCTTTTAAAGTTGACTTTAATCAGTCGATTGAGCAATACAGAGACCTGAAGAATATTTGGACATAATATCGTTTTAGTATTATTGATGCCGGAAAGGATAAGGGAGTTCTAATACTAAATATTGCTAATTTAGAAGTTCAGTTTGACATGATGAGATCAGTGGGCATTAATCGATTGGTTTGCGCTGTCATAATGGACATGATGTATAATAACGATTCCTAATCAATGTGATACAGTCACTTATTATAGTTGCATAAAAAGAAGCCCAAATTGGTGGGAAAGACCTGTCTGGTTGCGTCCATCTGAAGGCCTGTGCACGTGCAGCATATTTGTAACAGTGAAAGGACTGAGCATTATAACACGTTTTTACAAAGGAACTCCAATAGAACACGATGTACTTAAATAATCTATGTTAAAACGCTTTCAATTAAATGTATTAACGCTAAATAACTTCACATACCCTAGGGGCATACAGGTTGCAAAAACTCGCTGGGCCTAAGCGTAACAATATTAAACCAAAGGCACTACAATTTACCTTCTCTGATATAATTGATCAAGAAATTGGCAAAAAATCTGATTGAAGTTGTTAACCATGAACGATGCATTTTGGTTTGAATTATTGTTATCGTTTGCTATATGGCATTAGTGATTTACATGAAATTTATTTATATCAAATGGCAGGCGTCTTGATTGTTATCATTAGCCCTTTAGTTGACTGCAGGCTTCACAGAGGGGAACATCAAATTGAAAAAAAATCGAGAGGGCGGGGGGACAGAAGAGAGTTTCAAAGATTTAAGAGACAAACACAAAGGTAGAAAAAA